AAATCAAGTGGTTTGAAAATAGCAGTAAACCTTAGGTTTTTTTATTACATGTAGCGTTAGGTATACATTATTTAGTGCACGTGTGTGTGTGTGTGTGTGTGAATTTAGCATAAGTAACAACCACAATATAGTTTATTATTTCCAGTAATAATTAATTGCAGATAGTATAAGCACCAGTATTACACGTTATGTAGGCAATATGAAGTTAAATGAAATATGGAAACATGATTTAATGCCTGCACGTGTGTGTGTGTGTGTGTGTGTGTGTTAATTCATCAGCAGTAACAACCATATATAGGCAGATACAAGTATAACACAATATAAAATTAAGATGGAATATGATAGCTAGGTCGCGCACATAAATCGACTTATATAATCCATTCATTTATTAAAGCTGATGAAGTATCCTACACGTGCATCAATTTTTCATGACAGATCCAGCTATATTTGGTTACACCGCAGCGGACGCTGGTGTGTTGAGCGTATATCAGGACCACGAACCCTTATCATTCTATTCCAATGTGAATTTTGGTTCTACTTCATCATCATTAGCAGTAGCATACAACGATAACGATATTGAACTCTATTGTGGCGCATTCCACAAAATATTAATACTCCATTCTAAGTTTATAGCAATTTGGAAGCAAAAATTATTGACACTTGCAATATAAATTGAATAGTCGATCTTGAGCCCACAGTATTAATGTCATTTTTATTACATCCTATATGAGTTACATATCAAAACTTGTTGAAGGAGTCAACCGCTTTTATTTCAACCCCCCTCCACTTCCACACTCTCTCACAAAAAATTGCATCTTCATTTTCTTTAATTTTCATATGTAACTGTTCACGAATTATACTCAGTCAAAAAACGTCTACGCAATGGGAATCTAATCCGCAGAAAAGGTGTCAGCATTTCTGTGCTAAGAAGATTAACACTGCATGTTTCTTGTACAATATCTACATGAAACCGTTAATTAATCTGTTCCTCACAAGTCAAGTGATAAGCAGTCCATGAATTGTTTGATTTTAAATTAACAATACAATAATAATGAATAATACTTGTAATATGTAAAATTAATCATAAGTAATAATGACACTTTATAACCTAATGCGTCTAAGCGCTGCGTACAACGTTAATTAATAACTGAGAATTATTACCACATGAATTATATATAAAGTCGGTAACTATAAAAACTAAATATGAAAACCCTGTCAACACATTCAAAACTAGAATATTCATATTCATTCTAATATAATGGATGTTAATGCTCTTGACAGCAATGATGTTAAAAGAGTATTGAAATGAAGACTTATTACAAATTAATAAGATTCAAATTTTATATTGTGCAGAATCGATAGGGACTGCTGCGCAATGCCGACCACGTGACCGGTGCTAAGACCGGAAGTTTGTCTTTTAATTATTAAAAACCTCATGGCTCATGCAACACCTTTATTCCCTAATGACTTATTAATACACATACACTCTTGCCCAAAATGGTTGGTACACGGAAATTTTGGGATGCATACCGCCCTGTTTCTTTCATTATTATTGATATTATCAAATTACTACTGTTTATACTGTTAAATATGTGAAGCTGGAGGATTAGTAGAGTCAAGGAGAAACAACCAATGCAAATGTGAAAAAATTAATTTATTTAGGGTTTTTTTCTCATGCCCCACCCAAAGGAGTACTTTTAAAACATAACAGTACCAAGTGAAAAATTAAACATAAATTTATACTGTGATTGACAATTAATATGAAATTAGGGGAAATTGTCAAGAAACATCTTCTATTGTTTCCTGAATATTTTCAGTTAACAGCCTCTCCCCAGGGAGCCTACGCACTCTCATAGCTGGAGGAGGTGGTTCTGTACATGTTTGGGGTGCCATTTGCAGCAACGGTATTTGCCCATTGCTTCCTCTGGATGAAAACCTTAACGCTGCCAGATACAGAGACATTCTCCAGCAGAACCTGGAGCCGTTCGGAAGAGGGATATACAGAGACAATTTTAGATTGCAACATGACAACCCAACTCCCCACACAACCCGCTTAATTGCAGACTATATCCGACAAAACAACATTCAGCTGATGCCACAGCCAGCAAGAAGCCCAGATGCAAACCCAATTGAGCACATGTGGGACGAACTTGGTCGTGCAATTCAGAGGAGAAACCCTCCCCCTACAAATCTAGATGAACTGCGAGATGCCCTTCAAGATGAATGGACCAGAATTCCTCTCCAAAGAGCTGTAACTCTAGTTCACAGTATGCCACGCCGTCTGGAGGCCATTATCCAAGCTCAGGGTAAGCATACCCGCTATTTAGAATAATGATGAACTCTGAAGATGTTTCTTGACAATTTCCCCTAATTTCATATTAATTGTCAACCACAGTATAAATTTATGTTTAATTTTCCACTTGGTACTGTTACGTAAAAAAGTACTCTTTTTGGGGGCATGAGAAAAAAAACCCTAAATAAATTAACGCTTTTTTCACATTTGCATTGGTTGTTTCTCCTTGACTCTACCAATCCTCCAGCTTCACATATTTAACAATATAAACAGTATTAATTTGATAATATTAATAATAATGAAAGAAACAGGGCGGTATACATCCCAAAATTTCCCTGTACCAACCATTTTGGGCAAGAGTGTATATGAAAGTTTATCATATATCTTTTGAATATCGTAGAATGTACATGTCGTCGTAATTTAAAAACAAGTTAAAATTTTATTTAAAAAATTATTTCAATTGTGAAGATCTTTGAAAATTGGTGTGCGTTTTTAATATTATGATAATAAAATAGGAAGGTAACATCCTATAATCTTTTCTGTGTGCAAATAAGGCTGTTTTTTTATCTGGAATTGATTATTTTTTCTTAACAATCATATTTTAGTTATGTACTGTAAGTGCTTTTATGTAAGAATCTGTATGTTTTATCTAGAATACTCTTAAATATTTTTGTTGTTAAGCTCTGTAATTTTCCATTTATCTGTTCCTAATAATTGATTTCTTAAGTAATTGTTTTATGTATATGTAAAGTCTTCTGAACATGTTATAATGAATTTTAGACTCAAAATAAATTTATTATTATTATTTTTTTTAATTATATTTTTTATTTTTTAATTCAGATGCGTATACATTGAACCCTATCAAGGCCTAATTCACACAGCGGGATTTGTATAATATAGTTGGACATCTTTGTCATAAAAGACTGCCATCTATTTCGATAGTTGGATCTCTTCGTCACGAAGAATTTATATCAAAGGCTGCC